GTGGCTTTAGGGCTACTTTATGCCACGCTGGCCCTTTTACGTGTGTAAAGAGGTTGGAGCCGTAGTGAGGATCTCACCCTAAATAGTTACTGTACATCAACAAAGCTCCATGGGGTTCAGTGGAACTGTCGTAATTTACACTTGCTGAGGACCTGGCCCAGTATAGTACAATACATAAAAAGTATCTAAAAGGGAACTGCCTCTAGGATTCTGACTTTCAAGCCACACAGTAGCAAAAAACTCTGTGAACTTTGTAAACAGCTCAAAAGGTCCAGGTGTACATGTATATACAAACATCAACTGTGCTTGTGAGTACAGAAACAAGCACTGCCCTGAAGTTGCCGGAGCTGTAATATAATTCTTATTACTGGCTGCCAGATGAACACATCAGCTACTTAACGTCCTAATTCCAGTGTTCACTGATGAAATAATTAGCTTTTTAAACTGAGTTAAAATTTACCTAGGCCAACATGGCTATGTTTTACGTTGCTAGGTCTGCTTATCGTCACTCGGGAAGGTGACTTGGTATAGATTAAGTTGGTTATACAGTCAAACCCATGCTGGTCTGAAAATTGGGTGGGGGCTTGCAAGGATGCAGAAACTTACAGGAAAACTTTTTTCCAGTGCCACTAATCAAGGCATAAGGGCCCATCGCGGGTTCCCAGAGCTCAGGCTCCAGTCTGAGCCTGAACATCTACACAGCAATGTTTAGCCCCACAGCCCGAGCCCTGTGAGCCCGAGTTAGCTGACCTGGGATAGCCACGGCTCTGCTGCGGGTCTTTTATTCCAGTTTAGACATACCCTTAATGGCCTGGGACCTACCTGTCTGAGGGACCATATCTTTCACGGTGATATGTTGCCGCAGTTGAGAAAGTAGAGGCACTTGAGCTGGAGCACCCTCGGTATATGAGAGGGTTGACAGCTTGTTCTCTATGACTGCCCTCAGTTCTGGAATTTTGTCCAAAATGGACCAGATTTGGCATGCTGCAAAGCTCTTGTCTTTTCCTGGGCAGGATGGCAGTGCTTTGAAGGCTGGGAGTTGTGTGCCTGAGATTTGGGAGCTGGGACATGATTTATTTTTCCTCTGTCTTCAAGGAAGCTGCTGGGTTTATTTTTGTTTTCATTAGTGTTTGTATTTTTAATGCATGATAAAAAAGACCAAAGACACGTATAGATGCTTTTTTATATATGATTTGTATAAAGCCAAATAAATAAACATACTTGAATATTATCTGCCAGATTTTTATTGGATCACATTTGTAGTTAGATTAGAGGAACATCTTCGTTTTACAAGGAAGAGTGTTCAATGTTAGTTACACTGTTTTTGGAAGCTGGAGTACTAAACAGATTAATTCAGCTGTCAAACAGGAAGATTTTATCTAAGGAAGAAATAGAACATGGTTCACAATGTTGTCAGGCCACTTCACCTTGGCAACTACAATATCAGAACCCTACGTGCTCCTCCTTCACCAGGCACCTCATTAATTGGTCCGCATAGCTTGTTACCAGAAACTGATGTTACCATGCTAGAACCAAAATGTAAAAACGTGCAAGCTGTGAATATGCAAACAGTGAACAGAATACAGTATATACAAAAAGACATTGGACCAAATTCTACGCCCTGCTACTTCCTCTTTGCGATGCTGTGATGGCACAAAGGGGTTGGAAATTGCCAAGTCTTCCCTGAAAGAAATCTCCCAGGCATTGGGGAGACACCAGCAGCTGTAGAGTCAGATGTACATTCTACCTTCCTTCACAAAACCGACTCAGGAGCCAGGAGAAGGGGTGACTAGAGCAAGCTGCCCTCCAGTTACCCCATCATTGGGGACCACTGCCAGAAGCACAGGTTAAAGCAGCCCCAAAGCTGCTCTAATCTGCACTGTGTTGGATATAGAATTGGGAAGATAGTGAGCTACTTGACGGCACTGCAAAGTAATGGGATTCGGGGCATTGTGTTGTCAAAAGGTGCTATCTGCACATATTGCTTTGCAGGATTTGGGCCTAACAGAGCAAATACAGTCCCCATTACATGTAGTAGAGAAGGGTTTTTGCTAGGTGAACCTTTAAGGTACTGAGCTAAGCATCCTAGATAGGGGGGAAAGTATGCTGGTGTTCTGACCTTTAATAAGGCTGTTCAGTAAATGCATATAAATTGGAAACGTTTTCCAGATTAGTAAGAAGCTAAGGAGAACTATGGGTTGCTGCTTTGGTTCCAGTGAACCACAAAGTACAGTGTATATCTTTCTTTTTGATCAGCAACTTATTTGGTCTAAAGCGGACACTTTGAAGGATATACTGACTAACCTGGGAGTTCTAAAACATAAGGGAGCAGACTAACTGATGTAGATAACTGTGTGTTGAACTAATTAAAAACTTGTCTCTGATAAAGCTGCATGTTTCTTTCTTCCTCTGGGAGTGTCTGTTTTGTTATGAAACTTAGAAGGAAGTTAAAAATTTTAAGTTTTAACTGCATTGGTATAGCATGGTGAATGCCATTTGTTTGTTTGTTTTTTAATTCTACTGACAACTATACAAAGAATTTGGGGGAGAGCATTGCAGTATCACATTACATTAAGGTCCACTTTACCAGTGATGCTGCATGTATGTGTGTGTATATGTGTATATATATATTGATACATATTTTTGTAGGAGGAGATTTTTCAAGAAGGATTTTCAGAGGAGTTAGAGCCCAGCTCTTGTTGACTTTCAATGGGAATTTCATCCCAAAGCCCTTTGCAGACTGATCCACAGATTAATATTCTCATAGAAATTAATGAGAAAACTCTAGCAGAAATAGAACTCAAACCTTGCGTAATATATTGGAATCTATTTACTCACCACTGTGGTGGGAAGGATCGTGGCTGATGAATAGTGCACAGCAACACAGCACAGCAGTTTAGGATTGGAAGTTAAGAAGAGTATTGAATCCACTTGAAAAGTCATAGAAACTTTTTGATGGAATACTATCATTACCATGAACAGGACACCAAGGTTTACACACCTATTTTGCACCAGATTTAGCCACAAAACACAAAATTAGATCTAGATTTACAATTTCCTCTCTCTCTCTGATTTATCCCTTTTGTTATATCTATATTTTTATAAAGCTGGTTTACTTTTAAATCAAGAGCTAATGTATATATGTAGCTAGGTAATTTTTGTTCTGAATAGGATTCACTGAATTGCCTATTTCATCTACACATGCTACACAAAATGCTTACGTTTAATTAGGAGTAACCCACAACAGCATGAAATTCTTCATTGCATTTGAAGGCTTGATTCAGTAGCAGACTGCATCTGTGGCAACTGATCTGTGAAGTGAACATCAGACAACCACAGAGTTAATCCTAATTCCTTAAGGGAAATTTTAAAGGATTCCCTCATTGGAAGCCTCAAAATACCACATTGGATGTTTCATTTTTTGTTTACAGCACAAAAACTGTGATTCTGCCAACATGATTGTGAATGGGGGACTGAGGGTCTGATCCAGTTCCCATGGAACAAAGTGGAAAGGTCTGGATCTGGCCCTAAGTAGGGGCTCCTTTGAGAGAGCTTTGACTTTGAATGGAGTCTTCAGTTGTTAGCTCACCAGTTTGTTCCTGGCTTCAGCCAGAAAGAGAGACACAGAGCCTGATTCTTTTCTCACTGACCATGGTTTTCGCGTTGGTGTAACTCCATTCACTGCAGTGTAACTGTTGATTTCCACCAATGTAAGAGGAGAAGCGGGTTCGTGGTTCTATGGGGTGGTGGCGAATATAGAAAAAAATGTTTAAATACTTAAGGGCCACATTGATGTATAATTTGTAAATTAGGGCACAGTCCTTCAAACAGTTAATCATGTGAGTACGAAAGTCAGGGCCGGCTCCAGGCACCAGCTTGGCAAGCAGGTGCTTGGGGCGGCCACTTCGGGGAGGGGCGGCGCGTCCAGCTATTCGGCGGCAATTCGGCGGATGGTCCCTCACTCCCGCTCGGAGCGAAGGACCTCCCGCCGAATTGCTGCCGCAGATCGCGATCGTGGCTTTTTTTGGCTGCTTGGGGCGGCCAAAACCCTGGAGCCGGCCCTGACGAAAGTAGTCCCACTCAAGTCTGAAAGACTACTTGCATGAGTAAAGATTTGCAGGATCAGGCCCTTAATTTAACAATACTCAATTTACAAAATAAAAGACATTAATGCGAATTAATATTCAGTGACAAACTTAACTGAGAATTTCCGCACTTCTCTATGTTTAAGTTTTGTAACTGTTACATTCTTTCACAGCTGTTTTTGTAAGCAGGGAATAATTTATCTACCTTGATTTTAAAAAGTTCACAAATGTTTTTTTATTTGAAAAAATACCATAAAATTTCCCCTGCTTTCTCCTATGTCTACTTTCCTCTTTTTTTTCTATGGCTCCTATATAGAAAGCTTTCCTTAAATAATACAGGAGTAAAGAGTTGAATACAAGAACCAGAAGGAAACAAAAAGCAATACATTTTTAAAGGAATTTAATTTGGCCAGGATACCAAGGGTAATAATTCATACAAAAAAATGCTGTGGAAACTGTGGACTGATTCATTGGCTTCAGGCAATAATAAGAAAGCCAGATACCTGTACGTAATTGGAGGCTTTCCCCTGGTATGGAGATGGTGGGCTTCATTATGAATGTCAGATACGCTGGTGTTAAATCACTTTTACCTCCATTGGATTTATACCAGTGTACTAGAACTCAGAACCTGGTTTGGTGGTCATGATTTCTTTAGGATTTGCTGTAGAAACTGAAAATTATTTTTTGTTGAATACAGTCCATTAAAATGTTAAATGTCAAGGAAAGGGCTGTCTTACTTTACAGTTGTTAAAATTCTCTCTCTCTTTTTTAAACCTTTTCCCCTTATTTTCACACCACAAATTTTAAAAAGAAAAAATGGAACTCTCTGATCATCAGTCCCAAAATGTAAGTCCTGTGCCAAAAGCAATATTTTATCTAAATCAGAGACTTGTTCACTTTGATTGTATTTTATAGGAAGCCAAGGCAGCAGTGGAAGAGGCAAGAGCCCTGCGAAGTAGGATTCATCTTGCAGAAGCTGCACAGAGGCAGGCTCGTGGAATGGAGATGGATTATGAAGAAATAATCCGCCTATTAGAGGCTGAAATTACAGAGCTGAAGGCTCAGCTCGCTGATCATTCTGGCCAAAATAAAGTAAGTGGAACAGTCATCTCTCATAGTTACCATGGTTTCCTTGCTGTTGTCATGTATCCTGTTTTCATTTTCTTTTCATCTGCTCTTCTAAAGTAGGTCACTGTTTTGTCTTGTATTATTCAATAACTGGAATGATGCGTAGTGAAGGGGGCAATGTGAAGGCTACGAGCCTTCCTTTATCTAGATATCTTTAGGCTGGAAAAACAAGAGCCAGAAGCTTATTTGGGTCATTGGTCAATATGGCACATCTCAAGCATTAAAGTAGAAACCACTGAATATTTTCGTTTTCTGTTTTGTTTTAAAATTTACTAATAAATGTCATCAAAATTGAGGCAAAGAACAATCATTTTTGTGGTTGATTAGAGCTCTCAAGGAAGTGTGAGAGACTGAAAATATTTTAGATTCCTAAGCAAATTCACACATGTTCAGTTCAGCTTTTGCCTGGTTTCTGTTATTAATCAGTGCAGATGTATCTTCAGTAAGTGCGTTTGTTATTTACACTTGGCATAGAGTTAGAATTTTAGCCTGTTTCTCAGTGATGCACAAATAATAATAATATAAAATTCAGGACTATTCTTGAATACATTCAAATTTACTCAAGTTAATTATTTGAAAGACACAACATTAGTGTGACCTAAATATGATTTTTTTTTAAATGAAAAAGGTTGTACAAATGAGCCTCACACTCGAGGCCACCATATTATCCCCAATGATTTTTAGAGACCAATTTAGAATAAAACAGTTTGGGACAATTTCTAATGAACCTCCATAACTGGGAATCCATTTTTATGCTGACATATATTGTCCATTGTTTCTTTGTACTTCCCTGTTGTCTGTCTATATCCATCTGTTGTTTCTTGTCTTATACTTAGATTGTAAGCTCTTTGGGACAGAGACTGTCTTTTTGTTCTGTTTGTTCATTCAGCTCCTAGAACAGTGGTGTCCTGGACCATGAGTAGGGCTCTTAGGCTTTACAATAATGCAGATTAAAAAATAGTAACAATAATAATTGGAATTTGTGTGTGTGTAGTTACCTAGTTTACCCATGAAAAATGGATATGCCCAATAATTTAAAATAAGCGTGGCCTGCTGAAATTTTCAATGTGAAAATTAGTTCAATATTAAAAAAGCAAAAACTGTGTTACAAGAGCTATAAAGTGCATGGACTTAATACTTCACTGCCTTGCACACACTTTGTGCAATCACTTAGGCCCAGATTTTCAAAAGAGCGCAGCTCCCATTTAAGCACAAAATAAGTGTCCAGATTTTCAGTTATGCTCATCACTTTGATGCATGTTGGGTGCTAAACTTTCTTGAAAATCTGGTCGCAGACATGAGTGCTTGAAAATCTGGATTTGAGTGCTTTCAAAAATCTGACCCGGGGCCTGATCCTCCACCCATCTTGTTTAGTGGTAACACTCCCATTGACTGCAACAGGTGCAGGATTAAACTCTTGTACTTGTGCAAAGTTGGAAGCTCTTTAGGGCTGGGACTGTCTACTAGTCTGTGTTGGTACCTAGCACAATTAGGCCTCATTCTTGGCTGGTCCTTAGGCATTACCATAATAAACCTGATAGATTTAAAAAAAATAAGTTGGTGTAAAACATTACTATTCCAGTTTGGTAGCCTTTTACTCCCACTTTGTGTGAGTGGTTGTACAGCAGCAAGGCAGTAGAGAATAAGGCCACTTAAGTAGCATACTTTGAAGTGCTCTTCTAAATTTAATTTATGCAACTGGTAGTGTAAGCAAGAGATATTGATCAGTTCACCTTGTTTCTTTAGGTAAAGTACATGAAGAAGAGTTTTGCTCCACTTTGCCTTTTGATAACATCTGTAAGCCAGGGAAACCAAAACTGTACTTAGTAAAGCACCAGCAGTTGGCTGTATTTAATAAAATCCTCCCTAAGTAGGCTTAGCGTCTCCTTTTCCAGTAATGAACAGTGTGATATACATTACAGAAAAGAAACTTTCTAATCAAGCAGACTTTCTGATATTCAGAATAATGGGGATTCTGCCGCACAAAACTGTGTGTGTGTGTGTGTCTTTGTTTGCTTTCAATAAAGATATAGTTATTAGTAACAGCACTTTTTAGTAGTTGCAAATCTTATAGTAGGTTGTATTCAGGTGATGGGCTTCAAGAGAAGTGCACCTACAGCAATGTCAACCATTGTCTTTGTAGAGAGTGGCATTTTCTTTCCCTTTTACTGGGAGGTATTTTGTGCCTAATCCTCTGCCTAGCACACAGATCAAGTAAACAAATGTGCTCATGTATACATGGTGGCCTCCATCTTGTCCAACGCCACCAGAGACTGAACGCGTTAGAGCTAAAGAGCTAGCCTCTGTTGATGGGGCTGTACCAGACTCTTATCCTCTGTGGATCAGGCACAAAGGGGGACATGTAACAAATACTGAATGATGGGTTACACATATGTATGTAGAAAACTGAGCAGTTTAACTCTGTTCAAGGCCTGCCACAGAGTTACTAGTTTCTTTGGTGAGATCCTAAGGTAGTAGTTAAACATTAAACAAAAAACAGTTTAATTCAAAGTTTTAAAATAATTCTGATCCAGCAATTTATCAGAAAAGGAATGGAGACCTGGTCTTCTCACCGTGATCAAATCAGCACCGTGGACTGTTGGGAGATCCAGCCCCAGGCTGATGCCCTTTCTAAAAGAACAACAACAACAAAAAAGGTTGTAAAAAGAGAAATGGTGGCTGCAGTCTGTTGACAGCACCTTGATCGCAGCAGGAGCCTGATTCCCAACATGCATGTCCCATGAACAACTGAACCAGAAGCATTCTAAAACTTCTGATTCAACTGTTCACTCTCAGATCTAAAGTTAAAAGGACTGGTAGAAAACAGAGTGTGGGCTTGTCTACATGAACAATTAGTTCACACCAAGCTGGGGTGTGAATCTACCTTGCACTAACCTGCCGCAGACCAACTGTCCTTGTGCACCCTGCTGACGTGTTAATAGTTTGTTAGAGCACTTTGATCTAGTCCTCAAAGCACTCTTACAAAGAGTTAACACACATCAGCAGGGAGTTGGGCAACAGCAGGCTAGTGTGGGGTACAGTCACACCTCAGTTTGCTGTGAACTAATTGTTCATGTAGATAAGCCCTCAGTTACTTGAACTCGGAGGAGATAAAGAGTGCTACGCAAGGATGCAAGGAAAGCATTGAGGGGATAACATTTTAAAATCTACAGTATCTCTCAATAAGTTCTGAATTCAGATTTTATTTTGAACGTCATGTGCATTTTTTAGGCAATTTTAGGGCCTTCAGGATCCTTTTGGTAAAACAGTATTTGCTTCCTTCTTCCTCTTTTCTTAAAATTTGGAGAGACATCCCCCATCACCTTCACCGTTCACTCAAAAAGTTTGAAAAATGACAAATAGGATAAATAAAATTAAGTCTTGAAATTAATTAGATAGTATTAACTTAATTTCTTCCACAGGATAGTGTTCAAGATTTAAGAAAGAGAATTACTGTGCTTGACTGCCAGCTGCGGAAATCAGAATCGGCTAGGAAAACCTTTGAGGTGGCCACTGCAAAACTGCTGCAGTTTGTAGAGGTAACTTTTTTCCATTGTTGTTTCCAGCAGCATTTTGTTTAGGAAAAGATGTGTGTTAATAAAGCTAAGGAACAAATAGGATAAATTAAGCATGAATGTGTAAAGCTGTAGTTTGAAAAAAACATTCACAGCTTATACAACCGGCTGAAATAAGGGTTAAAGCAGAATTTCGTGTAGGGATTTTTGAGTCATTTGATTGTTGCTGTGTGCCTAATTGTAACAAGCATTCTTTTGTTTGTGCATTAAAACCTATGATCTTAGCATTTAGAGGTCAAGTTTCTTTATCTGGAAATAGTAAAATAATGCCCATTTGCAAAATTAAGAGGCAGATATACATCAGTAAACAGAGGTTATGTTGAAAACTTGTTAAAAAAACAGAATTTTAGCTTGCTGTACGCTTAATCCAACTCAGCCTGTTCTGCACCATTTTATACTGAGCCAGTTAGTATTGCTGTGTCACTTTATACTAGCTGAGGATATGGTCTACTCATATATTTATTTCACATAGTAGAAAGGTTTATAACATGGACGTATAGATCATAAACACACAACACGGATGTGTTTTAATTAATTTTGGCCAATTCGTGTTTGCCTCCCCCATATGGTGGACCTAAGTTGCCCCTTGCTGTGAAAATAGGGTGATTTTGTATTTTATAATTTTCAGGCAGCTTAAAATTGTTACTGCTCCTTCCCCCTATGCTGACTGCCAATATAAGAAAATCTCCCAGACTTTGTTTTTGAATGTCAGATATGGGGGAAAGGTGTCGCAGGCTTATACAAAAGAGTTCCTTAGGGGGGGAAATTATGTCATTTGAAGTGTTATCTTTTATATCTCAGCAATATACCTTATTTGCATCTACAATTTTACTTCCATGGAGACTGAGAAATTTCTCATTTTATAATCCTTACATAATGGGCTGCCAATAGGAAAACGTTTGATTTAGCAAATTAGCCATTCTACGAGAAGATCTGTGCGGTTAGGGAGATAGAGTAAAGTCCATATGAAAAGTGTCCTACTTTATATTATTCACATTTGCATAGATGTGGCTGAGGTGCTTTGGGTTGATAGAATATTGTCCACATGAAAAATCATTTAGGGTCCTTCAGAAGAAAACTGAGACCCCAGCTCATTCCCTGTGGCTAGGAATACAAATTGTGTGTACAAAGTTTGCAGGGAGACAGAAGGTCTTTAAGTAGACGACAAAGCAACAAAAATAGTATGTGAAGCTTATAAAACATTAACTATTCATTTCTTTGATTGTTTGCCAACAGGTTGTGCACGAAGTACTAGCAGACAACTCCATCCCCTTGTCAAATTTAAGGTAAGAAAACCTAAACTTAACTTGTTTTATTGAAGGTAATATGGTGAAATGATATGAAATATAGCAATACATGATGTTATTGAAAACCTTTGTGAGAGGGTTAGAAGCTCCAAACAACTCATCCTAAGCCTTAGCTGTTTTCTTTCTATACTCCCATGCATTTCTGAATGCCACTTTTATGAACAGTGGAAATAAAAACACAACACTGGTCTCAGGGCTGCAACTTTCATTAACAATTTGAAGATAAAACAGTTAACCAGCACAGACCTCGCACACCTATGGGCATCTGCATGCTTCCATCAACCAAAGACACTATATCCCTTACCACAGCTTTCCACCTTATTCTTTCCCCATGCAAAGAGTACGACTCTTTGGTAGAGACTGCCTCTCGCCTAGGTCCAGTAATAAGTAGCATCACCACTGTTAGTGCCACCAACATCTGTCTAGTTCCGTTTCTTCCAAGAGTTTAGATTTTGATTAGGAGGACTTTCAAGGTTACTTCCTGCACCATTTATGTGGCCAATGACCCTGCCAACAAAGGTGGAATAAAAGAAAAATGTGCATATTCACGTATGTCAGAACATCATCAAACCACCCCTAACAGGGCTAGGGAGAAAACGCTTGGCCCACTGCATCAAATAGCTTATGAATGAAATAATCAGCTACCTGCCAAGTAATGCCTGCAATAAGGGAGAGGGACTAGCCTCTTGCCGCTGGCTAGGGCTGTCTGCCAGAGGGAAAAATTCCTCCCTGACCCTAAATATGGCAACTGGTATAACCTTGTGTACCGCGAGGATTGTACCAGCAAACTCCAGCAGCACTACCTGCTTTTGTTACAAAGCAAGACGCATTCAAGCCTGTAATCAGAGAAACCATATTTATCTAAACTTTATGAAAGTGAACTGAATTACTTTAATTAAAAAATGCTGCAGCTCAGATGTATTCAACAGGATTTAGAGCAGCCTTTGGCCTCTTAAAATACCAATGTAATTCTATCCTGTCTCACAGAGCAGGTTTCTCCTTGTTCATGTTCAAGAATAAATGCTAAATAGGACCCTATCCTACAAACCTTATTCACGCAAAATTCCTAGTAAAATCAAATCTGTTTAACTGAAATTATCAGGGGTTTTGTCTCACTGACAGTTTCAGGATCAAGCTCCCAGGCTGTAATGGATGCCTGTTAAGTAGCAAACAAATTCTACCCTTATGTATTTATGCACTAATCCCAGTCAGGTCAATGGGAATTGTATTTGACTAACAGAGATAGCAACATTTCATTCTTTACAAAGTTGGTATACCCTGTTTTCATAGGTGATTCTGAGTACAGAAGCCAGTATAATCTTTGGGTAAGTGTAACACACTGCTGGGGATAAACTTAATCTAGTAAAATACAGTCTTCATTAAAGATGATTTCTCTCACCCAACTTCACTGGTCAGGATCCATCACAAGATCACATTGCTTAGTTCCTTTGTCTCCTAAGGTGAAGCATAACATAAAGGTGCTTTACTCTCTCTTTTATAGTTCAATCAATCTTTGAAACATATTCTTCTGAAGGGTGCACCACCAGATAAAGTTCATGCCAAGTAAAGTAGTCATCGGTCTGGAGGATAAGACTCCATGCTGGTTCCTCTCCCACTGGTGATTGCTGCAATGCAAGTTGATCTGTTCCTGCAACTTCCGATATTCAAATGAATAACCCATTGATTATGATTGCACCTGGATGGAGGCTTCAGCCTTTCCTTTGTCTGGGAAAAACCTGAGTACCAAGTCCCCATTTGTCTGATTTGAACACATTTTAATCCCATATTTCCAGCACAACTGTGTGGTCCTTTGTGGGTTTACCATACATACACTATGCAAGAATATTAACGATCAGTGTGTTATTACTTTTCCAATGATACCTGACCCTACAGCTGTTAGATATAGATTATGACATTAGTGAGTTGGGGTACACTGAACTGTTCTGCTGAAACTCACTGCTAGATACTGGGAAGCTCCTTGTCCTCTGACATTGGGGTGCTGTTAGGGTCACAGTAAGTCTCCTGAATTTGGTAGCATAATTTTGTTGTTGTTGTTGTTACTGGAATGAGATTAAAACAACCAAGAGATGTATTCAACAAGGTGAAAGGATGCCTGTTTTATTTTATTAAAAGGAACATTTTCCCTTGTAATCTTATAGACAGTTGATCTCTTTGCTGTGTGTTCCTTCCAGTGACCGAAGAGGCACATTATCTACCAAAACACTCCTGGCACGACTGGGGAGGAATGGACGTACTGTCACAGCAACCCTTGCAGCAGAAGCCAAAGATCTTACTAAATCTGTCCGTGCCATTCTGGAAGTAGATTGTGAGTGTATATATATATATATATATATATTCTACCCGCCACCCCCGCACAGCCTTTCTCCCTTTCACCTTTTGATTGGCAATTCAAAGTGCAATATTTCAGCAGTTATCAACTGAACAATAAATCTAATCAGTCATTACTGTAGGTTCATTAGAAGAAAGCACATTTGAGCATAACAGCCACTAGGAAAATCCTCAGTGTAGTTCAGATAGTTGTAGCATTTACACTTAGTATAGAATCATGAGCTGGAAGGGTGGTTTAGGTTTATGATTTATGAGGTTTATTATCAGCCCTTATCAAGGCACTTTTATTAATGTGCCAAACCCACATTTCCCAATGGTAACTAGCCTACACTGCGGGTATGGTTCCAGGAAAACACTAATTATAATACTGACAGTCAGGTGGTAGGAAGAAAAAGGGACCTTTTAACAAGCAGGTCTCAGAGACAGACTCCTACAGCCTGCTTCCTATTCTAGTCCGGAAAGAAAGGTGATTCACATAGTCCAGCCTGTTAACAACGTAAGCATTTTGGTCCTGATTTTTCTATCAATTGCACTGATATAAATTGATATCAATAATCGTCAAAAGAGTTACACTGGTGTAAAACTGAAGTGAAAGGAGAATCAGATCTAATGTAAAGATAAAAGAAAAAATTACAATCCATCAGAAAGTTCTGCTTTTTCTTTGACCAAAATGAGATTTGGATTTTTTTTTCAGATCTTTATATCATTTGTAGTTGGAATGATCTATCTTTTCAGAATAGACTAGAAAGAATTTTATGGATTAAGAAATGAGCATTGGCCAGTATTACATTACAACTGTCTGAAAGAAAAGACTGTCAGCCAGCAGTTTTACAAATGCTATAATCAGTTAACACAACAGCTGGTTAATTGGTCATTTCACAAGAAGGGTACATATACTAATGCTGAAATGGGACAATCCTTCTGGAGTCTTTTCATTAACATTATACCAGTATGTTTAATATCTCGGTTCACAATTAACTGTCATGATTCAAGGAACCCAGAATTGTAAGTGAATACAGAGTTCGGGTAGCAGAGACAAGGTATTTGATGGCAGAGGGCAGAGCTGACTGTATCACTCCTTCCCAATTACAATTGATGAAAAAGTCATCAAGGAGTCTACAGTCCTGTTTCCCGTTTACACTTAAGGTCCCTTTACACTGCTCTGGCACTGCAAAAGTCGTCTTCAGCAACAGCATGATATAATTAGATTAAAATAGTATTCAGATCAGTAGCCAAGGAGCACATAGCACAACTCAAAGGAGCAAAAATAGCTTGAAGCATGGTTATTTTTCTCAGTCTCTTCTCTCCCCCATACACGCTGCACCAGGAGCAGAGAGGGGATGGCATAGATGCCAGTTCTATGAATTGGTACCACTTACAGGTTTCCCCGAGCTGAGAGAGTCATCAGGGGCTGGTTAAGTCAGCTTTATGGCTACTTTTTAATCATCAGAGCAGCACAGAGCCCCTGGAGTAGAGGCCAGGGTCTGGCCCAGACTGGGGAGTCAGGAATCTTCTGCATAGTAATCCCAGCTCTGCTGCTGATTTGCTGTGAGACCTCTGCCTCATTTCCCCCTTTTCTAAAAGGAGACTAATGCCTGCCTTACACGTGGGTCCTCCCAAGGATTAACTAGTTGTTTGTACAGGACTTTGAACATGTCAAGTGTGATATGGGTAAAATTTTCCAAAGTGCCTAAGGGCCAGAGTTAGACACCTAGTGGGATTTTTAAAACCACCTGGGTGCCTATCTCCCATTGATTTCAGTGAGACTTCACTTCAGCTCTCACTTGTAAATCTTTGCACAGAGAAGGTTATGCCGTTGGAGGCTAGGGGGTCTGATCCTGAAATGTTTTTATGAATGTGAGTTGGTGCACCGATGACAGTAGACCTACTCACATGAGTAGGGGCTGCAGGTCCAGGGCTTGATAGAAAATTATCAAGTTTCTACTCTGTTAAACTGAATTGGGGAATGTTTAGTGCTGTTTTGTTACTATATCCACTCTTCTGTTTATTTCACCATGTAGAGTACCTATCCTGAGCAGTACTGACACCCTCCGTTCTGACTGCTCAGGAGGTGCTCAGTATCTCATAGGACAGGGGCATAGATAACTGTATCTCCAGAGCAAGAATCTAGTTGCTGCCTTTACAATTAGCAGTGTTTTTCCTTTCCTGGTACACTCATAATAGTAATTTATCTATCTCCTTAGCTTTAGGCAGATATGCCATAATAGTTCATTACATACATATTCCACTGTTCACTGAGAGAAATAATAATTGATCTCATTTATGTGGCTGGGATGTGTTCTCCAATTCATTGAATGTCCTGTAATAAATCATAGCTAGCCTTTTACAGAATGCTTGTAATTCCACACAAAAAAAAAAAGTAGGCTACATGAAACACAATCCCTTATTACTGACAATATTTTGAATTAAAACTAGGCCATAGAAGAATGTGACCACTAATATTCCCTTATGAAAATTAATTAGCTATTTCCTTGAATTATTTCTAACAAAACGTTATTTTCAGTTTGGAATTTCTGACATCTGTATTAACCTAAAGAGAGAGAGAGAACCTGCTGTCCCTTTTCTCCTAGCTAGACCAGCTTTCGTTCACAGCCTAGCAGTTTAATAAACAAAGAAAATATTTCTTCTGAGGTTTAAACTAGCAACCTGTAGACATTTCTGATCAATACGTCGCATTCTTCAAATGTTTGCTGGGCAAATAAGTGCCTTGAAAGTTTCTTACATTAGATGCCTGTAATGAAGTGCAGCAAAGCGAGAGTATTATAGTGGTGATTGCAGCGATTTGGTGCCATGCAGCAAATCATTTAAAGAGTTGCAGTGGTATCTAAGGGATCAAGTTTCTCATTTTAGTTTTGTACTTCCACCTTCCCTTCTCTTTTGCACACTGCCTTTCCTCCTAGGTAGTTCATGAGCAGGCACTCCACTGCCAAAGAGATCATTAAGGTAGGAAATGCCAGTTTAGTACATGGAAATTATTTTAATCCTGTTCAGTAATATCCATCACTCTTCATAAAACACATGCCAGGGACTTCAGATAATTTGACTGCCCTAGCCTGTGAAAGTACAGGAGGACAAGCTCAATTACTCAGACTGAAGTGCCATAGGGATTCCAGAAACTTGGGGTTCTCCTTTCACTAGGCCTGATCCACAGCTCACTGAAGTCTGTAGAAAGATTCCCACTGACTTCAGTGGGCTTTGGCCCAAACTCATGATGATGTGCAGGCTAACTTGGGAACCCTCCAGAACCCGAGCTTTAAGGACTCAAGTACTTAAGCCACACTGTCCCAGTTTTTCCTTCCAAGATGCCAAAGTTCCATCAGAATGAGTGTGTGTTCTTTAAGGTCTTTGAATATTGTCTTTCATAATTTTTAATCTGTAGTGATTAAGTGATATAATGTCTAAGGGAACAAATGCTCTCCAAGCTTCTAAATCTATTAGCAGTCCATCATAGGAGGATGGGGGTGTTTTATTTAATATTGACTCTCAGCTGGTGGAAGGGAACCATTAGTGGGGCAATTGTACCAGGGACTATTTTGGTTTGATACTATATAAAACTCATCCTAAACCTCTAATATGTTTTATTTATGGAGAGACAGACACTCAACTATTGTTAAGGCTGAAACTAGTTTTCTCTTATAAGCTCCATTTTAATATTCAAACACACTTTTGTTAAAGTACAATCAATGCACCTGAAATGTCACAATTGTGAATTTATCCCAGGATAGAACTTTCCAGGAAAGTTTAAGGCAGATTGGATCAGGAATTTAGGTGTTGTAGAGGTTCCGGAATTGTATAAAACGAGCTGAATTTCGTAACTTTGTAATGCATTACTTTTACGTTATTTACTGTGATATATTTTTTGCATCTTAATCCCATGTTAATGAAGGAGGTTTTTTTGTTAGTGTTGCTAGGGAATGAGCATAGACTAGTTCTATTCTTGAGATAAATTTAACAAGTTTTACAATATTTGTGTATTTCTAGGTTGCCTCTGTAAATCCATTGTTACCTGACATCTCTGTCCAAATGCAAAAGTCTTTCCAGTTTATGACTAGAGATTGTACTAGACTGCATGAGAGTGCAAAGCTGAGAGATTATGGTGGTTTATGACAGGATCCCCAATGTAGAGCATCCAAATGGCTGTCTATTTTGATCATATGTACCTATAGTTGAGGGGATGTGTCAATGATAATCTACGTCAGCTAATTTAACTTTTAAAAATAAAACAAAAATGGCCCTACAGATACATTACAGGATTTTTTGGTTTGCTTTTTCATCCCTTTATGGAACACGTGAAGAATTTTGGTGGGAACAGCCATTACAACAAACATTTATTTTATCTGTCTGCTACTCGCCTTTTAGACTGGTACTAAATAAGTTTCTTTGGCCGGGTTATGTTTCATGTGCATACATTTATGTGAATCCTTACATTGTCTGGAACTGAAAACCTCTTATCCTACCTTCTGTATACAGGAGTGCATAAAATGTTGTGTGAGAGAGGCTTCCGAATAAGTAGATGCTGAAATTGCACAAAAATGCTGTGAGAGCTGGAATTAGAGTAGCTGAAATAGAGGGGCAGAATAATTGTGACCGGCTCATTTGATTTATCATAGCATTAATTATTGTTGCAAAGCCATGGTATGTTGCATGTTAAATAATTGTATCTAATTTGTATTTATGGTCTAAATTGAACTACCAATAATGTCTCTTTCAGCAAGCAAAAATATTGTCCGACAAGTAAAGATTTTTTTTCTTTTGGGGGGAATGTTGGGGGAGGGAGAATCAGGTTGCACCACTGGGGATGGAAATGTTGTGTCACATTAAATTATTTCTGTCAGACTACACAGGAAATCATGCGAGAGAAACCTTTAGACCTAAATGCAATTGAAGACTAACATCTGGTTGTGTCAAATATAATAGGTAGGATTCAGTAAGAAAGCTCTAGAGCCATAGTATGGA